CGCTTTTGACACAGTCGTGGTTGTCTTCACATTCTATCCGACAGGCATCTTTGTTTTCGTCGTCAACTCTACAAACGAAAGATAAAAAATTCTGTTTCACTCAAACTGCAATCCAACTCCATCATACATACCCACGATGATCTCATTTGTTGTCAAAAATCACCCCATGAGAACTAAATTACTAGTTTTCACAAGAGGCGTCGTTGGCCTTAATGGAATGAGAAGGATAAATTGAGATTTACCATTCAATGTATAACTAGGGAACTCAGCACCTAAACATCCAACACTCCGACGTGTAAAACATCAAACTATAAATCGAATGCATGCAAAGTGAAGTTCACCATAGACTCCACCCTACTCACCTCTGACTCCAGTGTTTCAACCACCAGCTGACGCCTACTAAATTTCATCGAAACACAATACGTATATAAACATCAGGAAGCGAATACGCTTGAAATATGTAGAATAACAGCGTTGATACCAATGAGGAGAGAGTACAGGTGACATCTGAGAACACATTCCTTCACTCTGCACCATATCACCCTTTGTCACTCCTTTTACTACTTTAATGAATATAAACCAGATTGGTGACTCCTAATCTTATCCTATCATGATTACCTGGAATTCAAAAACGAAAATATCAACTACCACATATAAACTCAGGATTGAGATTTGAAAAACAGAATCTTAGATACTAACTCTTCGCAGAATTCAAATCTAAATTTCCTATGATTTAGCTCTCAGCCGACGACAGTATGCACCTACTCTCCTAAACAAAGCTCAGAACTTACCGTACGAATTCCTATTGTTAACACTTAGTACTGACATCACTGAGTCAGTTTGACCATACCTACACATAAAGCACTCGTGACTTACCATAAAGCCTCATCTCTTCGTGAAATACACAACAAGAGAGAATCATTCTACTCAGTGTCAAACATACCTAACAGTAGTCAGCGTACCTCCAGAATGAGATGTTCGCTTTGTGTCACGCTTTGATATATGCATGAGACAGAAATAGATAGGTTGTAGAATCACAAACACATTTACTCAGGCGTGATTGGTTGATGTGTATGTGAGGCTGAATGTCTGGTCACTCACAATCTAAATTTAAAACATCGACAACACCGATCAGATGTCATTTGATTGGCAGACCATCATGATAGTTATTTATCTTGGTGATACTTCTGAAGAAAGGAGAATGTTTATCAAGGCAATCGAGTTAGATTTGTCAATTTTCATAGGGCGTGCGTATGTTAGACAGGTGACAGTGAGCGCAGACAGACGTGTATGAGCCTAGTCACCAACCGGTCATTTGGGTGGTGTTCAAAGAGATATTATTCAAACTGAATGCCTTATGCACTAGGGTAGTAGATTTTCGAGACAACTTGACATCTGAACTGATGAACTGGTAGCAACCGATTTAGGTGAGACATACTGGAGATCATAATTTCATACAATGTAGTGTTGAAAACATCGAAATGTAATTATGGTCATTAAATTATTGGATAGATGTGTTTCAGTAAATAATACTATGTCATGTAATACTACAATAAATGAGAAAACTGGCATCAAGTTACTCAAATGTGATTGCACTAGTCAGGTTTTATACCATTGACAATTGTGTGTGTGTGTGTATCGCAGTTGCATACACTTATATGAATGATATGTATTCATCACAATGAATTCAAAAGCTTCAACAACAAAAGACATGTGTCAAACCATTCAAACTAAATGAGACGTAAATTAAATCGGTTTATGTTAGCTTAGTTCTCACACTGCGATCTACATAGTAACCTGAATATTTATTCAAAATTTGTCGAAAACGGAAATAATTAGAGCCAACATCAGTTTTCGAAATACTATGGTGATGGTATGGGAAACCAATACGTAATTAGCGAATATTATAATCAAGAGAAGTCAGACTCGCCAGATAAACAGGAACACCCAGGAGAATTCGATTCTGATTAATCGGGGGTATGAAAGAGAACAGGCATAAGGATAAACTTAACTTCTTCATAGCAGTAAGAGCAAGTGTACATCGACTGTTTTCCGTAATGAGGAGGGTTACTGTTTTCCAACCTGAGCTTTTGATATTTACTAACATGTCAACATCTCATAAAATGAGTAGTCGGTGATTTATATTTTTATAAAACGAAACAGATATCTTCACCATCTCAGTAGTTGGTGTTATCTTTTGGATTCGCTGTACGGAAATGATGACCTCTCTTATGCAACATAAAATACTAATATTTTTGCAGAGATTTAATTGGCCTCAATTTAACTCATGAACTGACATCGGTCGAAGAACTACTGAAAACGGAGGGAGAATCGGACAGCTATCTAATCCTAGTGTGGGATTCTTCACCCATGACAACAGTGAGGATCGAACGCAGAAGCCTTGAGTTACAAAGCCTCATTTCTGACCATTTATTCACCTGGACGAAATCAAAAGGTCCATGAATCCTAATATATTCCACTTAAGCATGTATGCTGCCATCACCAGCCCACAAGTTTCAACAAAACAAGAACAAAATATGTCTACTGTACTGTACAGCATTGTTCAAAATCAAGTCTCCGTGAAGGATTGGCAGTTCTTGTAGAAGAAGAAGATACTCAATAAGGTTTTCTTGTTCTGTTCAATACATCGAGGGAGAAACGTTATTTAAATGATGAATAAGTTGTCAATATTTTTATATTAATTAAGGAGGGTTTACGGTGTAGGCCCGCGAGGCATCTACTTCCTTCCTTACTGGTCGTATTACTGTGTGTGATAGGATTAGCACTACATCACCCCGGAACTGAATCCACACCTCGTTCTGACTAGTGACAATTATAACACTAAATCAACGACACAATTTGATTGAAAACGACTAAGTTTAGAAATGCATACATGTTCCTTTCAATTACCAACTGTTACATATTTTGGATTAGATACGATTTAAAGAAAATAGGTCATACAATTTTTCCCATCATGTATGAAAATGAACTCTGGTCATCATTAAAGATTAACATTGATCAATCAGTTGGAATTAACCTCATGCGATTTACCTGAAAGACCAAAGCCTGATTGACAAGTCAACAATCCACCTATTAATCTTCTTAGCGCGTATATATATACACGGGTTGAAGTGCCTATGACTGTCAAACGAACAAAGCGTTTAATTCGGAAAACACTCAACGTGAAGAAGAGCTCTTCAGAAATGCCTTCCACTTACCACACTTCACTATTCATATCATGCCTATGCTTGTTCTCGGTTTCGTGTGTTGGTGGGTTGATGAACGATACACTGAGAAACTTGTTGCTGACTCTTCACAATAATGCGAGAGATGATGTTCGAAGTGGATCGCTTAGTGGACAGCCAAAGGCTATTTCTATCAAACACGTGGTAAGTCGAGCGTTTAAATACGATCTCTGTTTTGAGTATTTTTCCGAATGTTGTATATCATGTGTTTCTCTGTTGAACTGTTGGAAACAGTGGAGTAGGAATACTCAGGTGATTCCAGAACATCGACAGTGATGACAGGTACTCACCAATTGGATGAAGATAAGAATTTGTGGACCACTGGATGTCTTCTAACTAGTTGGATGGCTGACACGCTGTCTTATTAAATTGAAAGTTTTCCAATTCAAGTTAGCGTAACACGGATGAGTCTCAATTTAGTTTCCACATCGAGAATTACAACACTGATAGCCTTTTAAGATCTCCGCTATATGTGTGTATTAGTTGAAGATACTGTCATGTGAAATGATAACGCTTTTATTCTCCCAATATTGAATTGAAAAATCACACGATATTTTAAATGTTTATAAACCGAATGCTTCTTTTTGAATTGCATGCATTCTCTTTTGTGGTATTCGTCAGAAATACAACATGGAGTTGGAAAAGAAAGCACAGAATTTATCTGATCAATGTCGTGTTGGACATGACACAGACTCAGAGCGTAAAGTTCCTCCATTCACATATGTTGGACAGAATTGGGTGGGTGCAGCAACAGTCGAACTGTAAGATAATCAGTATTTAATTAAATTAATCTTTCATATTTACCATGTTTCATAGCTTTTTCGCTTATTACACAAACCTGAGAAAATTAATTATTTTCGTCGCATATATAACGATATTTCAGATGATGTCACCTTCATTTATTCGTAGTTATTTTGTGTCTCCGGTCGATTGATTTCTATGAGATGAACATGGTCAGTGTCGGTTGATTTTCAGGTTGTGGTGATTCGACGATATCTTGAGATTGACACAGTGTAATTTGATTGATGATGGCTGACAGGAGGATACAGGATGCAGATATCCTCCTGTTTCTCGCTTGTCAGCTAGATGCCCCTAGATGTCAAACAAGTGGTGCTTTCCTCATACAGATGATCTCAATGGAGATGCATCTGCATCTAGTTGATGAATCGAAAAGAAGGAGAACTGAGTATGATGTATATCGTGTCACATGGAATGGGTTGTTTTGTACACGATTCAGATAATTATCTGATTGGATGTAAAATATTATCATCACAGTAAGAATCCTTGTATTTGTTGGTGTTAAAGTCTGAATACTATTCCCATAGATCAAAACTGCATTAGCAACACATTTACTACGTGTAGTTGAACAATATATTTCGTATCGGTTAATTTAAACTAAAAATGTACGCTAAGTGAATGGTCGAAGAATACAAAGTGTGTGAGTAAAAATAGCTGTTTGATCACATTAAATTATACTTTCACTTCCGTGACTTTGACAGTCCGCTGTTACAGTACCTGTAGCCCATAATGATTTAAATGGTATACTATGCTTTAATGAATGGAACGCTGCCATTCAATTATTTGTAGTTGTCACACATGATTCTTAGATCTATAGAATATCGAGATGACTCATTCTCACATCAGTTGCAGAGTGATATCGTATCTTCAATTATACATGTGTTTTGACATGTATTTTGTTCAAGTAATTGATAAGTGATTTGTTATTGTTTTGTTTTTACCATACTTACAATGAAGTGGATTCAATTCATGGTTGAACGAATATAAAAATTATGATTTCTATGGAAGTTATTGTTTCAATGGTCAATGCAATAAATATACACAGGTAAGCAACTGTACAATGATGAACCCGTGTGACATACCACACAGTTTGTTGGTAGAGTAAATATCATTGGGCCAATAGCAGATAATATTACAGAAATAAATCAGTAGGATTTGTGTGAATGTCTTCACAAATGTAATCCACATACAATTTGTGATACAAGGTTTTGTTCTTCTCATAAAAGATGGTGTGAAGTACTTGGATACACGTAGTGCGTCACTGACACAGTGGTACAATGTTCGCCGACCACGAAGGTGATACTGATTTTGGTCCTCGGCCAATGAACGCCTTTATCTCGGGAAGCCAGTAGTAAGACTGGTAAAGAGAGAAGGTTCGGAATGAGGCTATCAACCCCATTCTGTAAAAATTAACACCACTCCTACAGAAAATGCAAGCTTCTCGCTTGAAGCCCTGTGTTCCATTGGGAACGTAAACGAATAGTAGAAATCTTATTTGTAGAGATTGCCATAATTTTTATTTGTTAATAGTTAGATTTTTACTCTTAAGTAATATAGTAGTGTACCTAATCAGGGATAATTAGTGTTGTTCGAATGCAAAGTTGCCATGCTTCCATCTTTTAATGGGGACGCCAAGTTTGAAGCCAGTGGTCTATCGTATGGAAATGAGCACTCTAACACTCAATAACACTCCGAGGGCAGTCTCATTGATTCGTACGCAATATCATCCTAAACGTCGGATGGTTGTGAGAGTTAGGATGGGTAGGATTTATGTATTACAAAACTTAACTGTTAGGGAGGGTGTAAGAGAGGATTTGAGGCGATGATACAGACACTGAATCCCGTTTTCACCTGTGTTAACATGCATACTGACTGAAACACCAACCAACGACCACAACACACCTTGTAAATCCTTGAAATTTTCTTTTTCCATGTCTGTATCTACATGGATTTGTGTAAAAGTGTCAGTGGTACTCAGCATTTCGTGAGATATAGTCTGTGATAGTGAAATTCCGCTTCTCGTGAGACATTCAAGGACTTGGTGATTGGTCGAATGATCACTTAAATTAGCATACATTCTGTGAATAGATGACCAGACCAGTGCTAACGTCAATCGGTTTGACTGCTATTGATTTCTCTTCGAGTAACTATCGTATTCGCTGAGAACTCTACTCCTCATCCTCATCCTCCACTTCGGTTTGTTCATTTCAGATCGTTTGGCAGAAAACTACTGATATAGGATGTGGGGTCACTGACTGTCCTTCTGCCCCATTTGGATTGAGTATCGTATGCAATTATGGACCTGGGTAGGTTGTCCCAAACCATATTTCACTCCTATTAGTGAGAACTCGTCTTTGTGTAAATACAATAATTCTCACCTGATTAATTATCACTTTCAACGTGATTTACTAATCTCCTGAATACTGTATTTATTTTCAGCGGGAGGTACATCGATCAGTATCCATATGAAACAGACCAGACAGGGAAACTATAATCAGCCTTCCATATCACAAACCTGCTTCAAATACACTCATGTTATTCAAATCTCAGTCCAGAAATTACTCACTTTATTCACTGTTCAACATTACTTGAAAGATTGTAACATCTAATAACTATTGATTTGTTCATCATGGTGTTCAGGATATCGTATTATCTGTCTGTTTTCCTTTTTGTAATTTTCTTTCAAAAAATGTCATATTTAAATCAAAAGGTTCCTACGATCAATTTTGTTAATTTCCTGATGAGTTGAATGTACTCACACTTGCTTCTTCTTGTTCTTATTGTTGTTGCTGTTGATGTTGTAATTTACCAAAATAAAAATAAATATATGCATATATATATATATATATATATATATATATATATATATATACATCTCTACAATGGGTTACATCCATACTTATTTCTTTTTATTATATAATGAGTAACTAAAGATAACTTTACTCTGTTTGATATTTGCTGATATTTCTTTAACTCTATGAAACAGAAATCACGTACTCTTGGAGCTGAAATAATAAGCGTGTCAACCATAAAACAAAAGTGTTCTGTATAATTTGAAACGAATGTATTCTCTTTTCGAACACTGTCGTCGGTCACTGAACGAATTACATCAAACTTTCATGTGATAGAAATATGATGATGGTATTCACTTGTTGATATCAGCGAATATAAGAAATTGTCGAATTCAATTAGTTGTAATCTACATGAGACTGAGTATATTAGAAAATAGTAAAGAAACATTATTTGAATATCCAACTATTTCGATTGGGAAAGTGTATAATCAGCGAGAAATCTCTTCGATAAATACTCCTACAGGCTCTCCTGCTAGAAATACATTCAGTCTAGCATGCAGTAGCCAGTAAAGGCCAATTAGAATTATACGGGAATGTGTATTATGGGAGAGGTACAAGAAGGAGTGATACTCAGGTAGTTGTCATTATCATTTCGAATTTGTACAGTCACTAATTACATGAGATAAAATGGAATGTAATAAATAATTCGGTGATGTGGTTTCGTGTATAAGCGAAGATGTTTACAGATTTCACGGGTGAGTGTAGTCAGAGGTGTGAGACAAAATATGGATACTACATAGAGAAATGAACCAACCAATGAGAGGCGCCTAACATGAGTTCAAGGCTGACAAATAACAATAATAAAGATGGTATGGTGCAAGTTATAAAAGTCCTAGTAGTTGACGACTATCAGCTAGTAATGAACGTTTGCGGAGAATTAGGTTTTTGAATGAAATGCAGGGCAAACATGGAGAGAGTTAATAGGATGGAGACTTGAAGTGTTATTCATCAATATGTATGGAGGTTTTGTTGACCTTGTCGAAGGCGAGGTTAGACAAAGTGGTTGGTAATACTTTCTGTGTGTATTCAGAGACTGGGTGTTGAAGTAATGTGGTGGGTATTGAGTAGCATTGGAAACAGGGCTGGTGAATTCGCCTTATTTGTGATTGGTTGGCTAGATGCACGTGCATTCCACATTGAGAGAGGCCAAGCACTTCTGTGGATTCAGTGAATGGCAGTGTTTAAATTGAATTTAATAATAACTGATATGCGTCGAACAAGAGATGGTTCAGGTAGAGTAATTGGCTACCTGAATTTCCACCTTACTTTGCAATATCCGACGCATACCATATGAGGATCAGTCATGAAAATTTAGCATAACTAGTTCTATTAAACCAGCTCTTTTCTTCAGTATCATTTGACATGATTTTACCACTGATTGTTCCGCTAGACATTCAACTCTATTAAACAGACTATAACTCAGTTGCTGTAATATTAGCTACTTCTATACTTCTTAAAGTAAACTCATTTTTCCAGGGGTTTGTAACAAATTCTTATATACATGTATGCATGTATAAAAAAGATACTTCTAAGAATATCCTCAGTTATCGATGTATCTGGTGACCTAATGGGAAGCACTTGTCATAAAAGCTATTAATGTGTAGCATACTGAACGACTGGTCAAGGCTCAAAGCGATGCAATCCTGCAAATACAGTTATTGCCGAAAAAATCAGCCCTAAAATCAAAAAGGAGGGAGGGTGGCGCATGCTGATCAGCAGATATGGTAGTGGATAAAAATGTTAATCGCTCCGATCCTTGGGACAACCATATGTATTTTTTGACAGCTTGAGAATTAAAAACTAGTTTAGATCCTTAAGAAAAAAAAGTTTTGTAAAGATCTAAATTATTTAAAAAATGCTTTTGCTCCTATCATCTACTAGCCTCTTCAGCTTTTTGCCAAGGTACTACCCCATGGGCCCTACAAAAATCCGAGAGACATCTTACAGGTCAGCTTGTCCTACGGACTCTGATCTTCTAGATCTCTGAATTCACTTCTCACCGAAATATTATAACTACAGAAGACAAGGACCAGGCAACAGACCGTTTATTGAGAAAATCAACAGATATTTATAGACTTTTATGTAATTGTCAGCGGAGAGGCAACGTCTTCTGATTGACTGTTTTCCAGCCGAAGGTTATTCTGTTATCTCTTCTTGACCGTTCCTCAGAAACATAAGCCATATATCTGCGAATCGTATTTGCACACGTTTAGTCTGCTGTGATTGTTTGGTGGGTTCCTAAAGGTAAAACTTTAGTAGTGTTTTTCTCTGGGCCCCAATTCGGAACGTGAACAGTGACGTAAACTGCTGTCAACAATTTTGGCTTGCAACCAGCTCTCACCAGAATATCACTTACCTACCTCACGATAATGTTTTTATTATCAAGCTGTACAATCGTATATTTATGGTTTTATAAAGAAATTATATCCAGTGAGGGAATTAGGTCAAAGGTGTAAATACATGAAATAATAATAGTATGAAATAAATTTAAAATATTTGTGATTAGGTTCATAGTTTAAGTCAAGTGGAACAATGATTAATTTCATATATAAGATAATACATCAGGTGTATAGATTTTGGGGAGAGGCATATAATTGTAAGATTGAAAACATTTATTTCCCGATACGAATTTAAAACAAGCAATAAAGGTTAATAAAGCAGGATTTAATGAATTCATCAAATTTCGGTAGAACTCGTCAGCTGAATACTCTACATACACGAATATATATACTTTTGAAATTACATTGGGAGATATAAGACTGATAAGTTGAATACTCTAAATACACGAATATATATACTCTTGAAATTACATAGGGAGATATAAGACTGATAAGTAAACAAACTACATTGAATTAATCATGCAGAGAGACAGGTGCGAATATTTTCCAGGTCATGTTCAAATAGATAAGGGGAGAGAGAGAGTATGAGAGATCAAAATTAAGATAAATTGCATTACGCTTCAATTACATCACTTAGATAAACAATTAGTCATTAGGGAATATAACGAGAATTGCAAACAGACTAATATCAATAGTAATAGTTTTAATAACAATAATAATAATAGTGTTGAAGTGAGTTAAGATAAACTCACGGATAAAGCATAGTTTTAAATGAATCAAGAATAATAATAATAATAATAATAGGTAGAATAATAGTAATAACAAGTAGAGAATAATAAGTAAAGCGTATTACCATGGTAGATTCAGAGTGACGACCATCTCCTTTTGTATACAGAGAGCTGGTTTGTAAATTCGAATTGCACAAGCCTCTGCGAACCAGCCCTCTGTATACAAAAGGAGATGGTCGTCACTCTGAATCTACCATGGTAATACGCTTTACTTATTATTCTCTACTTGTTATCACTATTATTCTACCTCTTATCATTATTATTTTTGTTATTATTACTACCATTATTATTATTATTCTTGATTCATTTAAATCTATGCTTTATCCGTGAGATTATCTTAACTCACTTCAACACTATTAAAATTGTTATTATAACTATTACTATTGATATTAGTCTGTTTGCAATTCTCGTTATATTCCCTAATGACTAATTGTTTATCTAAGTGATGTAATTGAAGCGTAATGCAATTTATCTTAATTTTGATCTCTCATACTCTCTCTCTCCCCTTATCTATTTGAACATGACCTGGAAAATATTCGCACCTGTCTCTCTGCATGATTAATTCAATGTAGTTTGTTTACTTATCAGTCTTATATCTCCCTATGTAATTTCAAGAGTATATATATTCGTGTATTTAGAGTATTCAACTTATCAGTCTTATATCTCCCAATGTAATTTCAAAAGTATATATATTCGTGTATGTAGAGTATTCAGCTGACGAGTTCTACCGAAATTTGATGAATTCATTAAATCCTGCTTTATTAACCTTTATTGCTTGTTTTAAATTCGTATCGGGAAATAAATGTTTTCAATCTTACAATTATATGCCTCTCCCCAAAATCTATACACCTGATGTATTATCTTATATATGAAATTAATCATTGTTCCACTTGACTTAAACTATGAACCTAATCACAAATATTTTAAATTTATTTCATACTATTATTATTTCATGTATTTACACCTTTGACCTAATTCCCTCACTGGATATAATTTCTTTATAAAATCTTTTTATTAACGCACTATAATATTGTATTTTATCTTAACTACCTAGGCCTTTATTAAAGCCAAACCGTACTTTTTGTTCATATATTTTGCTTGTTTAAATTCTGTGTGCTTTGGTTTAAAAACACAACAACACAAATGTTTGAACAAGGCTGTATTTTCATCGAAAATGTCATAGTTTCCATGCTAAGACCAATATGGTTAGCATTAAACATTGCAAATATATACTATCATTCCAAGGAGAATCCACCTCCTTGAACTACATTGTAAATGTACTTCCAATTATGTATTATTATTGATAATTGCATTTCATGCCATTTTGCAGTTTTCTAGGTCATTCTTCTCTTCCTGAAACTGCTTTCAATCAAGGCATTTCACTTATCCAAATACATATTGTTCACTGATTGACTATAACTATCAGCATGAATCGGAACGAAGTTTGGGTCGGCGCTCAAACTTGATGATGACCTTAGTATGGGGTTCACAATTTGATATTTATACGAACCTGTTCTGATTGCTTGTACAAAACTGAACAGTTTGAATTTTTGAAAAATATTAATTTATGATACTCACGATTGTAATTTAAAACATAACTGATCGTGGCTGTAAAAATGGCATGCATTTCTTGTAAACACTAGTTTATACGAAATATAAATTATTATTATTATTATTAAAAAAGGCAAGTTGTTCTTGCATTGAAGATTAAAAATGAATGATAGAAATATGTTTTGTTTAATTCCTTTAGACGTTGTCCCTCTTCATCCGTGAAGATTAACTGTGATTAATTAGTTCACCTAAAACTGGTGTTATTCACCCCAGTAAAGGTAAGTCTGACTGACACACCAATAACCAATGCAATTGAACACTAATCTTTTTGTCCTATTCACTGATCTGCATACACATATATATGGGTGTTTATCTGAATGTCTTACTTTTCTCTAAAGAAATTTTTAAGTGAATTATCAAAGAAATGTATCCCTTTCTTTATTCATCACTCTTAGTATCATGGAAGTGTTTATTGCTAGTTTCTTGTGTCAGTGGGATGATGAACGAGACATTAAGAAACAAGTTTTTAAAGCTTCATAATGATGTCAGACAAGCAGTTCGAAATGGTCAGATTGATTCACAACCTATAGCTGTTTCCATTGGACCATTGGTGAGATGAATTTTGTAATAATATTCTAATTTTTTTTCTTTGTCTTATGGTCTTGACATTTGACATCTTGACGTCTGTGATGACATAGACACTCATTATTCCCTATTGAGTGTTGTCATTTTGGCAATGTACATCAAACAGAATCATGGAAGTTTAGTAATTAAGTTATCTACCTCAGAATATCTGTGTCATTTATAAAACTTCTGTAATAGTCAGTCATAATTATAGAAGGTTTAACAGTATGCAAGAGTGATAAGTAGGTTGCGACAGTACGCGTGGTGATAAGACAGTTGGATAAGGACCATCAAATTGGTTGAATTTTGACTTTCAACTAGTTTTCAAGAATACAGTTGACTGAAATTTACCGACGGTGACTGTCGTTTCTGGAAATTTCAAATTCTGTCCACCCGCGCTATTGTATAATGTCGTAAAATCTGTTTCGATATCAATCGTAGCATTCATTTTAAAATTTTGAATAAAGATGTTTATCTTCCCACTTCTCTTTATAAAGTGTGAGGGTAGTTATTTTATAAACTGTAAAGCTAACTGTCACTGCACCCTTACTTACATAGGAATTTCAAGACATTATTTTTGTTCTTTCAATCCTTTGCGTTCCAAGTGGAACTTAAGTCTTCAGGCTTTAGATATGGAGTTTCAGTGGTGGTGACCGTTTTTCACATGACAGGGCTGCTAGTCTCATATCCAACCCAACTTCTATATTGAGCTTATTATTGACTAAGACAGGCTTAAGAATGCTTTGATCGGGAAGGGAACTTGCACTGCGTGTATAGTTGGTAAGCACTCCAGCAATGAACTACTTGCATGAATATACGTACAGTTAAATTGATGTTCATTTAGGGCAATGATGTTGTCATTCATACAATCTGATGTTATGTTTGAATCAAGTGTCGTAACAGTGTTAACGCTAGATTTAATTGCAGCGTTTTGCTGAATGGACTTTATTTTCCAATTTTTATTTTGGACTGTAATTTAAACTCAACATTCTTTTTTGGGATACTATAAAGAGTAGACTTTGATTGGACGCTAGTAACCAGTGTGTTGTAGCTAGTCCTTTGTCTGGTGCAGACTGAAGTCTGTCAGTCAGGTTTGCAATGTGCAAACACCTTTCTAGATGGTTCACCATCACGGTGTGCTCTGAATTGTTGATGTTCAATGGTTGGAGGTGATCGTGAGAAAACCTTGGACCAACGTTTCGTGATAGTTGGCGCTTGTCAGCAGGGTGTATTTGAAACGATAAAGGAAGTTTTATCCCTCCTGAGATTCGAAACCTTTTTATTAATACGCCTTGCTGACAAGTGCCAACTAGCACGAAACCTATATTCAAGGCTTCCTGCCAGTTGCCTTCCAACCATCTAATATCATCAAAGAGATGGCTTTAAAGTTGACTACCTTTTTTTCATGTATTCAAAAACAATAACGGAGATTCATCTTTGAGTCAGATATTCATAGCCTAATGAACAAACGAAAACTAATCTAGTTGATAATCATGATGCCATCTTTTTATCTGATGCAACACTAATTGAAGTAATACCAGAATCTTCCTTTTAGTGTAAGCCGACTTCAAAGAAGAAAAAAAAGATGAAATGATGTCATATGAAAATGTCTGTTTCCGATATACCTAGAACACTTACATAGTTGATTTTTACAGAAATATAATTTAGAATTGGAGAAAAAAGCACAAATGTTGTCAGATGAATGTCGTGTTGGACATGATTCAGCTGAAGAAAGACAGATTCCATTATTTCCGTATGTTGGACAAAATTGGGCAGGTGCAGCGAATGTAGAAATGTAAGCTGTTTCACTTTAATTATTAATATCATTTATACTTATCATTATTATTCTCCTTATGATACGGTTGCAAATTCTTAAATCAACTGGTTGTTGCTATTGCACGCTGAAAATTTTTATATTCTCGCTTGGTGGTTACTTGAACTGTTCATTTAACCAAAAGGGGACTGGCATCTCTTTATATAAAATAAGGCTGGAATATAATTTCAGGGTGAGCAAGAAAGACAGCTCAGCGAGTTATGTCTTACCTAGTGAGATCAATTGAAAACCAAGTCAGCTAATGCATTATTTTATCATTATTATTGCTCCTTTGGGTTCCTAGTGGAACATAGGGCTTCAACTGCACCTCTCCACTTCACCTCCATCCATCTTAGTCCATACTGTTTCAACTCCTCTTCGCACGATCTCCTCCATGTCACCCTTGCACTGACGTCCACCTCGCCTCTTCCCTTTCGGGTTCCACTCGACCAATGGCCTGATGCGCGCGCGATGTCACCCAGTGGCCTCCTCAGCCAGTGTCCAATCCATCTTCACTTTCTCCTGCATATTTGTTGGGCAGCAATTGGTTTTTGTTTTGCTGTGTTTGTTCCCATAGTTTCTTGTTGGGGATTCTTTCGGGCCCGCCATCCGATCTTCAGTATGGAGCGAATACAGTTAGTTGTTGATAAAGGTCTGCAACAGGCTGTTGGAAATATTCTTTGTGACCCACCAGACTAACTTGAAGTTTATATTGAAAATCCGACCGAATTTTGTTGTTGATGCTGAGTGACGAAGATTTCCAGATTGGTTTTAGGTTCATGAGTGAATGTGTTTCTCGCCTTCTTGATTCTCGCTCTATTTGACATCCTCGTCCGTTCCGACTACCTGTGGTTGAGACAATGCTCCCTAGATAAGTGAAGTGAATGAAGTGACCTCTTTCACATTTCTCCCATTGATGGTGATTGGCGCTGGATGTTCCTACTGCTGTTGTTGTTGTTGGTTGGCTTGTCTTGTCTATGTTCACATGGAGTCCTGTCTTCGCCGGCTGTTTCTTCGGTCAGTTTGTCGTTGGTTTTCGCTTGTAAGTCTTCGATTGTGTGTGACAACAAACATAAATCATCCACGCGCGAAATCCAGGTCTTCTAGGTTCTTCATGTCGGTCGGTCCAGGATATTCCTGTCTTCTCGTTTCCCACTGTCTGACGCATAATCCAGTCCACCACAGTTAGGAATATCATTGGTGATAGTAAGCCAGCACCCTTGTCTGACTCCTGTGTTTACACCAAACGCCTCGCTGAGTTTTCCGTTGTGGATCACTTGACATGTTCCGTTGTCGTACAGCTGTTCAATAAGGTTGATGAATATTTGGGGTACGCCGTAGTATTCCAGTAATTTCCAAATTACTTCACGGTCAACGCTAACTGTCGAAGGCCTTCTCAAAGTCTATAAAGTTGAGGTAGAGGTTTGATATCCATTCCATGCTTTGTTCTGTGATGATGATGCGTAGAGTTGCACTTTGGTCAGTACATGACTTGCCTTTCCTGAATCCAGCCTGTTTTGGTCGGAGTTCTGTATCCAGTGCGTCCTTTATTTTCTGCAGGATGATGCGACTCAGGATTTCACTTGGCGTCGACGCAGCTAATGTATGTAAATGTTTCTAACTGAAAATAAAAGTGCAACTATTACTTTCGTAAAGTATTCCAAAATTGAGCAATCCAAAATTTATTGACGAAATGAAAATCACTTAACAGGCAAAGATTAGGTCTGATCAAATATGATTTCTGTAAGCATTTTTGATATATCTCTATCCATCGTCCTCTATCTCAGCGAATTGAACTTATCAAATTTCGCATAAATTATCTAGTCGCTTCTTGATTCCATTTATCATAAATCTTAGTATTCTGTAAAGTTAACATTAACATGCCAGTTCAACTGATAATATCCATGAAAATTTCACGTAATGTTGTGTTAAAATAACCCCCGATATGTGTTTATCATCAAAAGACTTCAGTATTCATGAGAAACTTTAACTTATAAGTACAAATGAGAAGAATAAAATCTCCCTAAATACTGTTTAGTCAATTTCAGGCTCGACAAGTCGTCTAAAATCGATAGTGTATATTGGCCACATTATATAGTTTCATTCACACCAGTCGATATGTCTTCACAAATGTGAATACAGAGAGTTGACTCTTCAATAACAGTGTTACTGGCTGTCCACAACGAATTGGCTATTGTTGTTGTAACTCCTTAACCTACCAGTCGTGTCATCTTAGATTCCACAATATGTCTTGCGACATACAGCATAGGGCATTCTGGTCAAAATCTGACATGTCTTAACAGTGGAATCAATTCCATAGTGTTACAACACATCAGTCCCAGTTAGAAAAGGAATCTTAAATTCTTGAAGTGATGCTGATAAATCATGGTTAACCGTAAATTATTATATCACTCGGAGTTGTACAAATTGAAGTTTGAACTACTGAGACAGCATGTCTGGTTGAACTGGGCCTCATGAGAAACCACATAAGTTACAGTTTTTCACTACATACACCACTTGTTATTTGGTCGGTATACTTTCATAGAAAATAATTGCAATTCTTACCATTGATTAATTTTTATTATCGTTATGTCAGATGAAGTGTCTGTTAGAAGACAAGGTGGACTGCCTACTCCTCATGATGTGGGTGTGCTGTGGTAATCATACATTTCGGAATCGTTAAGTGGAGGGTAAAGAGTATAGGATTCTAATTCATGATCAATTATTCCGATTTCAGTACTCATCTATATTTCTAGTGGTAAGACATCATTGACAATAATGTATTGACCACGTTTACCAATAATATTTTCTGTGTGTGAATATCATTGTTCTCGCTGAAAGCCACCTTCTACCTCCATGAGGCCTTCACGATGATAAAGTAAGCTATAATCGATGATAATAGACAGTCTTTGTTTACTCCCGTTTTCACTTCACAAACTTTGATGTATTTTCCATCATGAATCATTTGACGTGTGAAGTCACCATGCTGTGAATGAATCAGGTTGATAAATGTTTCAGTTACTCCATATCACAGAAGCAGTTTGACGCATTTTGAAGAACCCATCAAGGATAAGTGTTTACTTTAGCTTCACATGAGTAGCATAATGACTACTGATTCAGTTCAACACAGTTTTAGTAACCGATGAAAGAAACAATCAGAAGCCAGTTAAACTAGGAACACCTTTGAAAATTTCAAGTATTGTGAGGTGCATGAATATATTGGTAATGAGTGATACCGTACGCAAAATTAAGTCTGAATATTGAGAATATTTCCAGAGAATTCACTGTACACTATCTTACAAATTATGGGTGTTTTTCAGTCGAAAAGCAGTGCGTAAGAGCAATAAATAGTGCGTTCAGCACGAGTGATTTCGCACAAAATAAACTGACATTAGAAATACCTCAGTGCAGAGACTGGCATAAATATTTAACGAGTATAACGATTCAATCTACCTGATATCTACAGACGGGTGTTTTGTATTCTTCCCAATTACAGTTCACTGGCATTTCAGTTATGTGAATACTCCAGCTGTATAAACACACTCGCATGAATTACAATAGACGTCTTGACTTACTTACATTCTTCATTTATTTCTCATGAATTTCCTACCGAAGCAGATACTTCTCATGAGTCTTTCTGAAACAGCCATTTCAATGCAAGCCGATGGGAATTCCCCGTAATGTAGAAGTGATTCATTTTGAACACTGTTAGATGAAATTTGACAAGGTCCTCATTTTTAACTGCATTTGTTTTTCATTCATTTGTGAACTAGTGGATTCAAAAGGTGGTTGGATGGACATGAACATTATGATTACTTCAGAAGTTATTGTGCTGAAGGTGAATGCAATTCGTATACACAGGTAAGAGTCACAATTCCAGTACCACTTTGTTACTGATCTTATCAATCTGGTTAGAATGTTGGTGGTCAGAATATTCATCTAAAATTGTATCATCAGCGTTAATCAACACCAGAACAAAAGTTAAAAAATGAGAATCCTTACAAATCCTCAAACTCAGTAACGATTCGTGTCACAGTGATGACGTGAATTTCAAGACGTATCATGAAGAACAGACCTATCCTACACTTAATGTTAACTATATTCGGTTCATCGGGCTTTATGTCCTTCATGCGATTTAGTCCCGGGAGCAGTGTACATGACATCAGACCATATAGCTTGTCACAAAACATTATCCTGTCTGATGAATGATTAGCACGAAACAGACGAAATATGAGTGAACGTGTTAGACTTACTACAGTACAGGACGGGAGCCCAGTGCTGTTCCATACAGTGCACTAATAGTTTCAACTCAATGAACATCCAAAATGTAAGACATATTGTTGCTTGAGTATATCTTCACCTACAGCACACTCTGATTAGGTGAAATATGTATGAATGAGTTTAGTTAATATAATTCACAATATGTGGTGGACATCTGATCGGAAAGCAATGTAATAATAACAGCTTGTTCACTGAGGAAAGTACAAAAGAATAAATACAAACTTTTAAATCGTCTCCACGCTCTTTACACGAGCATCAGTTTTTTTATTGTGAAAATGTGAGTTTCTTAGGAGTGAATTGATCATATTTCCAGAAGTCTAATCTGAATCACAGTATTAATCGATTTCGATACACCTAATCCCTGTTGGTTGTTACCGTGATCTCTTCATGACATTCTCATTCACATGTGCCATCAACCACATGTGGGCAGAAACCATTCATGACACCGTATTTTGCTTACTTGTCAAATCTCAGTGGTCTGAATGACAACCGCTTCACTCGTTTCAGACTGTGATAATCAGTGATGTTCGTAGAATAACTCAGCTCATAAGACCAATTCAGTTAAAGCCAATGGAGTGAGACAGCATGAACCGTGGAGAAATTCACAGCCAAGTGAGTGGAAAAGGGTTCTGCTCAAAAGTCCATATGATCGGTAACAGGAGAATGCTTGTTTTCATTACACATTATCATATCTATTGTAGGCCTTTTCATCCACACATGATGAGAAACTGAGGAGAAAGTCGCTCTTCTTGAGATAACCACCTTACAGATCAGGCTCCAGTTATTCAAAGTGCTAGGGAGTTGAGATTCGTTTTGTAAAAGTCACCTGGTGTATTTCAGTGATAACCATTGCTTTTCATTCTTTTTCTTCCAGATTGTCTGGGAAACGACTACTGATCTTGGATGTAGTGTCACTAAATGCTCGAATTCCCTTTATGAACTAAGCATTGTGTGCAATTACGCACCTGGGTAAGATTCACTGGTGTTGATTCCCACTTTGAAAAATTACATTATTTAAGAGATTACAAGCTAAATATAGTAAGTTAGAGATGCTTATAAACTCAGATAAATACGGAATGAATATTAAAAATGGCTTCTTTTGCACTAACTTTTACTCATTATCGAATTAGGCTGTGCTGATGAATTCTTTTGGCGATGTTCATTAATTTCGGCCATTAAAGTTACCTTATTCATTTTGAATAAACCTGTTTATAAATGCCAAATTCATTGTTTCTATGTTAAACAAAGATACTTGGTTGTATCGAAAATATTTCTGTAGCAAGGGAGATCATATTGGCTTAATAGAGCATTATTAGGGCATCACGTAGTTCGCAATTCACCCATCGACATTATCAGCAGCAGTAATGCAGGAGTAATTGAGTCAATTAAATAAATGATTAAGTGTAGAAATAATTTGAGTGGGGAATTTAGAAGCTGTATCAACGTACGTTGGTAATTATATAATAGAACAACGATTGAAATCTATAATTGAAATAAATTGCTAAAATACGACCGAAGTGAACTTCACTGACCACAAATTATCAGTGTTCACTAATAACTTGATGTCTGGAATTTTATTAGATTTACTGAAAACAACGCAGCACTGTACAACTCTTACTTCTTAACTTAGGACTCTAAATTAGTGCAAACCTGTGACTCCCCATCAGGTATCAAACCGAGGATGTCCAGGATGCGAAATCAGCGCGTTCAAGAAGTCTCTACTGCTTTCGATACAAATCGCTACAAGATCAAAGGTATGACAAGTAGTTCAGTTGAATAAGCCACGGTTAAGCAATGAAATGTTCACGGACCTGTAGGATGATTAGTAGTCGTCTAAAAAAATGTGGTGGGGTCGATTCAGTTGCGTAGTTTACAAGAAATGTTTTTACTACTTAATGTTCAAGTGGAACATCAAGCTAGAGGCTTGAAGTTTCGGCATCAGTGAGATTTAATTTTACGGGATGGCTTGCTAGCCTAATGCCCAAAATTCCCTTTTTACCAGTCTTATTGCTGGTTTACCAAGGTAAGGGAATCCAAACCCGAACCACATGTGTAGTTGGAGAACATTCAAAGGCTGTGACACCATGGCAGCTGTTCAGTGATTACTATAAATGGATGAGAAATGGATTAGTACGTGAGGTAAAAGATAGAAGAAAACAAACCTCTAAAGATGACAGCAACTTTTCAAAAAAAACATTAACAGGGAAGAAAACAGATGAGAAGTTTAGATTATGCCCACGCTGACTGAGCTGGAAATAACTTATTAACCTCGAATAAAGGAGCAATAAAAGATACAGCATCCGTGGGAAGTAAAATTCCTTGAATCTCAAAGTAAGGATGTGAAAGAAAGCCGGAAAAACAGGGAAATTTCCACATCAAATATGAGACTAATTTGAAACAATTATAGCTCAACAAATAAATAATTTATATGTTATTAAATTACAGCGGATATTACATTGCGCGTAAACCATACAAAACAAACACAACTGAATATGAACATAAAAAAGTTATGGAAAATAGTAGCCAAAATAAAAAAAATCAAATAAGAAAAACAACCACGACAAAAACAGACGCAAGCGAAACAAATACAAAAAATGTTACAACTAAAAGAACAACCCAAAACGCCTTCCCATCATACACATATTATAATCGAACACACAACAGAACATCCACGAGACGTCGACGAGTGAATTCCGGAGGAGATGGAGGCGCCATCTGGGTAACACAGGTCTTCTCCAATGGAACTGGTCAAGACGCCTTCCCATCATACACATATTATAATCGAACACACAACAGAACATCCACGAGACGTCGACGAGTGAATTCGGGAGGAGATGGAGGCGCCACCTGGGTAACACAGGTCTTCTCCAATGGAACTGGTCAAGACGCCTTCCCATCATACACATATTATAATCGAACACACAACAGAACATCCACGAGACGTCGACGAGTGAATTCGGGAGGAGATGGAGGCGCCACCTGGGTAACACAGGTCTTCTCCAATGGAACTGGTCAAGACGCCTTCCCATCATACACATATTATAATCGAACACACAACAGAACATCCACGAGACGTCGACGAGTGAATTCCGGAGGAGATGGAGGCGCCATCTGGGTAACACAGGTCTTCTCCAATGGAACTGGTCAAGACGCCTTCCCATCATACACATATTATAATCGAACACACAACAGAACATCCACGAGACGTCGACGAGTGAATTCGGGAGGAGATGGAGGCGCCATCTGGGTAACACAGGTCTTCTCCAATGGAACTGGTCAAGACGCCTTCCCATCATACACATATTATAATCGAACACACAACAGAACATCCACGAGACGTCGACGAGTGAATTCGGGAGGAGATGGAGGCGCCATCTGGGTAACACAGGTCTTCTCCAATGGAACTGGTCAAGACGCCTTCCCATCATACACATATTATAATCGAACACACAACAGAACATCCACGAGACGTCGACGAGTGAATTCGGGAGGAGATGGAGGCGCCACCTGGGTAACACAGGTCTTCTCCAATGGAACTGGTCAAGACGCCTTCCCATCATACACATATTATAATCGAACACACAACAGAACATCCACGAGACGTCGACGAGTGAATTCCGGAGGAGATGGAGGCGCCATCTGGGTAACACAGGTCTTCTCCAATGGAACTGGTCAAGACGCCTTCCCATCATACACATATTATAATCGAACACACAACAGAACATCCACGAGACGTCGACGAGTGAATTCGGGAGGAGATGGAGGCGCCATCTGGGTAACACAGGTCTTCTCCAATGGAACTGGTCAAGACGCCTTCCCATCATACACATATTATAATCGAACACACAACAGAACATCCACGAGACGTCGACGAGTGAATTCGGGAGGAGATGGAGGCGCCATCTGGGTAACACAGATCTTCTCCAATGGAACTGGTCAAGACGCCTTCCCATCATACACATATTATAATCGAACACACAACAGAACATCCACGAGACGTCGACGAGTGAATTCGGGAGGAGATGGAGGCGCCACCTGGGTAACACAGGTCTTCTCCAATGGAACTGGTCAAGACGCCTTCCCATCATACACATATTATAATCGAACACACAACAGAACATCCACGAGACGTCGACGAGTGAATTCCGGAGGAGATGGAGGCGCCATCTGGGTAACACAGGTCTTCTCCAATGGAACTGGTCAAGACGCCTTCCCATCATACACATATTATAATCGAACACACAACAGAACATCCACGAGACGTCGACGAGTGAATTCGGGAGGAGATGGAGGCGCCACCTGGGTAACACAGGTCTTCTCCAATGGAACTGGTCAAGACGCCTTCCCATCATACACATATTATAATCGAACACACAACAGAACATCCACGAGACGTCGACGAGTGAATTCCGGAGGAGATGGAGGCGCCATCTGGGTAACACAGGTCTTCTCCAATGGAACTGGTCAAGACGCCTTCCCATCATACACATATTATAATCGAACACACAACAGAACATCCACGAGACGTCGACGAGTGAATTCGGGAGGAGATGGAGGCGCCATCTGGGTAACACAGGTCTTCTCCAATGGAACTGGTCAAGACGCCTTCCCATCATACACATATTATAATCGAACACACAACAGAACATCCACGAGACGTCGACGAGTGAATTCGGGAGGAGATGGAGGCGCCATCTGGGTAACACAGGTCTTCTCCAATGGAACTGGTCAAGACGCCTTCCCATCATACACATATTATAATCGAACACACAACAGAACATCCACGAGACGTCGACGAGTGAATTCGGGAGGAGATGGAGGCGCCACCTGGGTAACACAGGTCTTCTCCAATGGAACTGGTCAAGACGCCTTCCCATCATACACATATTATAATCGAACACACAACAGAACATCCACGAGACGTCGACGAGTGAATTCCGGAGGAGATGGAGGCGCCATCTGGGTAACACAGGTCTTCTCCAATGGAACTGGTCAAGACGCCTTCCCATCATACACATATTATAATCGAACACACAACAGAACATCCACGAGACGTCGACGAGTGAATTCGGGAGGAGATGGAGGCGCCACCTGGGTAACACAGGTCTTCTCCAATGGAACTGGTCAAGACGCCTTCCCATCATACACATATTATAATCGAACACACAACAGAACATCCACGAGACGTCGACGAGTGAATTCGGGAGGAGATGGAGGCGCCACCTGGGTAACACAGGTCTTCTCCAATGGAACTGGTCAAGACGCCTTCCCATCATACACATATTATAATCGAACACACAACAGAACATCCACGAGACGTCGACGAGTGAATTCGGGAGGAGATGGAGGCGCCATCTGGGTAACACAGGTCTTCTCCAATGGAACTGGTCAAGACGCCTTCCCATCATACAAATATTATAATCGAACACACAACAGAACATCCACGAGACGTCGACGAGTGAATTCAGGAGGAGATGGAGGCGCCATCTGGGTAACACAGGTCTTCTCCAATGGAACTGGTCAAGACGCCTTCCCATCATACACATATTATAATCGAACACACAACAGAACATCCACGAGACGTCGACGAGTGAATTCGGGAGGAGATGGAGGCGCCACCTGGGTAACACAGGTCTTCTCCAATGGAACTGGTCAAGACGCCTTCCCATCATACACATATTATAATCGAACACACAACAGAACATCCACGAGACGTCGACGAGTGAATTCGGGAGGAGATGGAGGCGCCACCTGGGTAACACAGGTCTTCTCCAATGGAACTGGTCAAGACGCCTTCCCATCATACACATATTATAATCGAACACACAACAGAACATCCACGAGACGTCGACGAGTGAATTCCGGAGGAGATGGAGGCGCCACCTGGGTAACACAGGTCTTCTCCAATGGAACTGGTCAAGACGCCTTCCCATCATACACATATTATAATCGAACACACAACAGAACATCCACGAGACGTCGACGAGTGAATTCGGGAGGAGACCAATGGAGTCTAGGCATATCAAGAGGTAAGTTCCGTTCTGATTTTGCTGATGATTTTTCTTCAGGTCTGTATAGACGCCCGTGGTCGTCTAAGTCCTATGTACGTCGTGCTTTAACTGTTTCTTATTTGTATTCGCTGTTTCCTAATCCACTCAGCCGATTTTGTATGTGATTTCCATATGGGTTTTCTTGGATATAATTGCTCAATAGATGTGATTCCTGGTTTTCATTTTAGTGTTAAATACTTCGTTTTTAGTTATTTTCTCATTAGTCCTACGAAATTCTTTGCGTATGATTTATTCTATTCACTTACATGCTGCATATGTAATTGTTTTTTCTCAATAGATTTAATGGAGATTTTTCTGTCATTTGCTTTCTTTTGTTTGTTTTCTTTATTCACCAGTTAGATGCAGATTCACTTACTTTATTACAGTTAATTGAATTTTTTATCATAGTTTAACTAAACTTTTCACTGTTTATCTTATATCACTTCTTGAGACAATTGAAATGCTGTCATTCAATGGTGTAATGGAATACAACTGAATTTGCTGTTTTGACAGGTATTTATTTGTTTCTATAGCAAATCACTGAAAACAATGTATTTAAATGCTAATTTTTTTTGAAGACAAACATTTTCGTTAAATGCCATATTTCCTTTCATATAATGCTTTATGAGTAATATCTTCATTATACACCTTCCGCATATCATAAGCCTGAATGATCGAATTTTGCGTGACTGTATATCTGAAGAGTAAGTAGTGGAAGATAGGCATTGCAGACTGAAATTTTGAAGATGCAGATTATCTATCTAAATATATGGTGAATGTACTCATGCTACATGATACTGATTAATTATCATGACTAGTTAGATACTACTTGTTTGAACCAGCAGTGCTTGCTATTCAGACCAAATGAATTGATCTGAATGGAGAAAAACATTCACCTCATTCGTTATAATGAAGGCTTTTGTATTACTCAATGAATGAAAAACAAAACGATATTGTTTTTACTGACGTTTCACTACTCAATGCTAATGGCTTTATCAAAGTATTATTAAACTGGAATTTACAAATTCTCAGCATATATATATATATATATATATATAACAAAGAGTTAGGAGGTGAGAAAATAGACTTAGGTCAAGTTAAAAGGACATATTGAAAGTCAAAATAACAATGAAGATGCATATGAACTGTCATCAAGATTTGACCGGATAGTTGCAAAATAAATGAGCGCTGAGTGAGAAGTAGACACTTTATAAAGTTATATTTGTAAAATCTCAGCGAAATTGAAATGATTAATTCCAACGTTTCGTTCGGCAATCTAGTCCGAACTTCTTCAGGGAAATTAATTGAAATTAACATAAGAGAGGTTTATATATAAAAGGGACACCTCTTGTTTTTTGAAATTTTGTCCAATCATGAGTCATGCAACAGGTATCAATATGTATAATAAATAAATAAATGAATAAATAGAATTGTATGTTTATATATAAAAGTACATCTCTTATTTTTAAATATGAATCAGAAGCGAAAACGCATATGGAATTTATTCGAAATTGTATTGTGAACAACAGGTATCCTAAATTATATTCAAAATCCCATCGTCGATGCAAAACACGACCGAATCAGAAGTCACTAAAGCGATTCGCCGTTAATCAAATCGAATCACTTCAAGTTTATATATCTGAACTAGAGAGAAATATTTCGCAAAGACCTTACACCGTCGATGAACTTCCTCAAAACCTGAAGGATTTATTTATTAACTACGTTAATGAAGTTCTAAAAACTCGAGAAAGCAAGAAATTGATATTATTAACCAAAGGACTAGATACAGAAACGACTGAAACTCAATCTCCAATTGACTATAACCGGTACGTTTTCAATTCCTCCTCTGTATGCTTAGATAAGACACAGCTTGAAGCCTTATCTCTCGGTTTAAAATTCTGTGACAGACGTAATCAGGTTGATCATTTAGAGACTGATGTCCAATTTGAAAACCTATTTGCCCAGACAAGCGACCTAACTCCTACGTCCAAGTATGAGCTAGAAAGTTTTAAAACTACCCTAATCGATTCCTGCTACCAGTTTAAGAACAGCAAACATCCCTCCAACAGTCTACTTACAAAGAAACACCGAGAGGCATTACGTGACCTCAAAAAGAACGAAAATCTGATAATAACTAGACCTGATAAAGGATCTGGCACAGTTATTATGAACAAGAGTGATTATTTAGACAAAATGAATATCATTCTAAACGACCATACGAAATTTCAAAAGCTAAGCAGTTGTAAAGACACAACGGAGGCAAAAAAAAAAAAAAAAAAAAAAAAAAAAAAAAAAAAAAAAAAAAAAAAAAAAAAAAAAAAAAAAAAAAAAAAAAAAAAAAAAAAAAAAAAAAAAAACACACCAAGACTTTATGGTTTACCGAAAGTCCATAAGCCGGGAGTACCACTACGTCCCATCTTAGATATGTGCCAATCCCCTTATCATTCTACAGCTAAGTGGTTGGTAAAGGCACTAGAACCACTACATCGCGAAGTAGTGAAATTCAGTGTAAAAGACGTATTCAGCTTTGTGGAAACTACCAAAAGCTTGAATGTAAAGGGAAAGAAAATGATGTCACTGGATGTAGCATCATTATTCACCAATGTCCCACTGCTTGAAACAGTCAACTACATATGTGACCAGCTGATAGAAAAGAAAATAGATGTAGGAATCCCACCCGAAAAGGTCAAAGAATTATTATTGAAATGCACTATGAATGTTCAGTTTATGTTCAATAATGGTTTTTATAGACAAGTTGATGGGGTAGCCATGGGATCACCTTTGGGCCCTTTGCTAGCGGATATTTTCCTGGCAAAGCTTGAAAATGGTCCACTCAAAGACACGATTAAAGGGCTTGACTATTATTGTCGATACGTAGATGATACGTTTATCGTTTGTAATAGAAATCTTAATAAACAAGAGCTTCTGAATACCGTTAATAGTGTTCACCCAACTATTCAGTTTACATGTGAAGAAGAAGACAATAACAGTTTACCTTTCCTAGACGTCCTACTTACCATGAAGACAGACGGATATCTACAAAGGAAATTATTTAGAAAGAAAACTTGGACGGGTCAGTACACCCATTTCCATAGTTTCACACCGATTCAGCATAAAAGAAACTTAGTTAAGTGTCTTAGCTACAGAATAAAACGAATATGCTCAGAGGAATGCATTAAGGAAGAAATGCATAAACTAAAACTCACACTGCAAGAAAATGGATATCCACAGAGCTTCCTAAAAAAGTATATGTCAATACCTATAGACAGGGTAAAGGTGGATACCGTAGACAAGAAACCTTTGTATCTTAAGTTAAGTTACAAAGGGGAAATTGCAGCTGACATTCTAAAGTGTCGACTCAATAGAGCAATAGATAGAACATTTCCCGCAGCTAAATTGGTACTAAACTTCTCAACTAAACCAGTACTCACACAGCAAGTAAAGGATAAATTACCAAAGATGGCCTCATCAATGTGCATCTACGAATTCAACTGCTCATGTGGAGCTAGTTATATTGGCCGTACTCAGAGGGCTTTATCCATGCGCGCACGTGAACATGTACCTGTATGGTTGAGTAAAGGAGTAACCAAAGGCATAAATAGTGCAGTCTTAGCCCACTTGGTAGATACTGGACACCCGATAAAACTTGACCAAGCGTTCTCAGTTATTTACCGCGTTCCTAGTAATTTATCTAGAGGAGCTCGACTACGTCTTCTATCAGTAGCTGAAGCAGTTGCAATTAATACCAGAAGACCATCCCTCTGCATACAGAAGAAGTATGTTCAACCTCTATGTTTACCTTGGCCTACAATAAAGCCAACAAATCCTCCATTAACACTATAAATTCCTTTCGCGATTTTCTTTTCTTTTCCTTCTTCTATTCCTCTGTTTCATTGACAAACGTTCATTTTCGACTTTTATGATTTCATGACCTTTCTTATGATTTTATTACCTTAGGTTTAAATAGTGCTTTTCTAACTTACTATCGTATTTACAAAATCCTGTTCATTCCACTTCATTATATTCATTATTATTATTTGACAATCATTCACCAATAGTACATTTAATTTTAATTTTACACCATATCATCGTTATTATTTTACAATCATTCTTATTGTTGTTATTTTCAACCTTGAACTTAAGTCTAGACCGCCCCATTCGTTGGTTTATTTTCATATTGCCTCACACACCCTGATTACACTCACTCTTGAAACCTGTATTTTCTGTTAACTATATTTATATATATACACACATCATTAAATTAAATTATTTCATCTCATTCTGTCCCATGTTGTTATTGACCATGAATATTAAAAAACTATATGACTATTTTCTATAGTTTGGTTTGTAAGGATTAGTTATGTTTTACGAGTTGATCACGGATTGATATCAGTTAGAGAACCATTGAAAACCAGGGAGTACTGGACAGCTGCTGTTTCATCCTAATTTGGGAATCATCGAATTGGTAGAAGTTAGAATTCACGAGCCATTGAATCGGGTTCCAGTGGCTGAATGGTATACGAGCTTGCCTTGTAACCGGAAGGTCCTGGGTTCGAAACCCAGTGGGTGCGTACTGCCGATGATTCCCAAACTAGGATGAAACAGCAGCTGTCCAGTACTCTCTGGTTTTCAATGGTTCTCTAACTGATATCAATCCGTGATCAACTCGTAAAATATATGACTATTGTTTCATCCCATCTTATACTTGTTCCACAATACGCTTTCTATGATATGATTCTAATTCGCCTTTACTGGCTATTGTATGCTTGCATTAATGGATTTATAATTGTAGAGCCTGAAGAAGAATTTATTGAAAACAATTGTTCGCTCTAAATATTATGTTCTAAATATGAATCAAGAAACAGCTACCAGTGGGTATACAAAACAAAACAAAGCAAAAATTAAATAAAGTATAATTATATTTTAATGGTTTACACACAAAATTGTATGAACTGTGATCAAAAATATTTTTGACCTCAGACTTTCAAAATTTGTCTACTTTTGTTAAAATATATGTGTATATGCAGCATATGCAGGATACAATGGTGTGTGTGTATGTGTGTTTGGGTGAACAGTCATTTGCTATTCTCATATGAACTGTGTTCAAGATTTGATCAGATAGTTGCAAAATAATTGAGAATTTTTTACAAATTTAATTTAGTTTTTATAAATTTGTTATTCTCTCCATAAGAGGACGTAGACAATCGGGAATTTGACCAAGTGTGACTACTTGTTCATACATATCCAGTTTTATTTATTAGTCAGGATTTGCTATGCATCAGCTAACATCACACCTTCACGTTTGTTTGTAGGGCTTCTGCAGTCATTCTTTCTTGATATGAACCAAAACCTTTCTGTAAAACCTTAGTCTTATCAAAGTCGATTTTGTGTCCCGTTTCTATTGAATGCTGTGCAATCGCTGAGTTGTTTTCTAGTTTCTTCAAGTCTTCAGAGCTCTTTGGAACCACCTTTAGACATTCTTCGTGCTCTTTCACTCTTATATTTACCTGTCTGGAAGTTTCTCCTACATATGCTGCGTTACAATCCCCACAATTCATCTGGTATACACAATTCTGCTGGTTTTCTTGTTCTATTTTATCCTTAACCTTCACCAGTAATGAGCGTAAGGTGTTAGATGCACGAAAATACACTTATGTTATGTTCGTTAAGGATTCGCTTTATTTCATCGGATGTTTCTTTGAGATAAGGAACCACCGCTGTACTAACCCAATTCCTAGCAGCGGGTTTTGATTCATCCTTATCTTCACATTTTAAATATCTTTTTATGA